GGTTTACTCTGAAAACCTTAGTGAATCAACAAAATAATCAAGCTGATAGCTTCAATAAAGTAGTAGGATACAAAATAAATTCATAAATTAGCATTTATGTACATTACTAATAAAAACCAGGAAGAAGAAAAGTGCCATCTAAAAAAGTAATAAAATTAATTAAATCCTTGGGAGTTAATCTAGCAAGACACACATAGAATGCATATAAACAGAGTTACAAAAACAGTTTTCCCTTGAATAAATGAGGATCTAAACAAGAGAAGAAATATTCAATAGTCTTGGCTAGATTAGCCCAAGATAATAAAGTTTTGATACTTCCCAAATTAGTCTACAGATTCAATCTTAAGCCAAATAAATAGCAAAGGAAATACTTCATAGAATTACACAAAATAGGGGGCACTTGACACTTACTAGCTGTGTGACCCTGGGCAAGTCACTTAACCCCAATTGCCTAAAAAACAAAACAAAACAAGAATTATACAAAATAACAAAATGTATATGGAGGAACAAAAGGTCAAAAATAGGGAAATAATGAAGATAAAAGGAAATAAGGGGAGTTAGTATATAAAGTAATTATAATAAAAAACTGATACTGATTTTTTAAGAGAGACATTCTTTATGTTGAATAGGATGAAAGTAGGAGAAAGGGGCAAAAATTGCAGAAAAACAAATTTCAGCTCAAAGTAAGGAAAATCTTTTTAACTACTAAGAGCTATCAAAAAGTGAACCAGGCAAAGCCAGAGGTATCAGGTCTTCACTAGAAGTCTCCAAGCAAGGACTTTTCAGTTATGTTGGAGAGGGGATTCTTAATAGGTATAAGTTGAACTAGAGGGTCTCTGAGATCCCTTCCATCCAGCATTAATGTGATATGTCCATGATTCTGTTATTACAGATTTCATGGTTTGTTAGAATGAGAAGAGACCTTAGAGATGATGTACTTCCCTCCCTCCCCAAACTACTCTGTAAATATTTTGTATTTACTTATTTGTGTGTAGCAAGATTATATAGAGTCCATGGGAAGGGCTATGGAAGTTTGCATTATTGAAGTATATACCATTATTTTTTTTTCCAGTGAAATGCATGCTCCTTTAAGGTCAGGTTTCTGTTTCATTTTTCCTTCATCTCCCCAGGACACAGACATTGAATGAAGAGAAATCTGAAGCTAAGAAAGGTTAATTAACTAGCCCCTGTTTACACAATCAGTAAGCATACGGGTAAAAGATTAAACCATAGAGATCCTGGGTCAGGGGTTTTTCCATATCTCCATGCTTCTTTCCATCATTTCCACTTTCTACAGGCAGAGTCCAGCACAGTAAATGAATAACAAAAACAGCAAATGTCAAAACCTCAGATACAGGACAGAATCATACATTTTTAAAAAATCATTCATTTCCCATTTTACTGAATCTCTACCTTAGTTTTTTTTTTGTTTTGTTTTGTTTTGTTTTGTTTTAATTGGCGCAGCTAATGTGAGGAGAGCCTGGAGCTGACCAGGGTCTAGAGGAGGGGAAAGAAAGTATTCATAGATCCTAAATGTTTTTATTGTCTATATGAATCCAAAGACTACAATTCCAGGCATGCATTGCTGCTGGACTGTTTCAGTCGTGTCCAACTCTTCATGACCCCATTTGGGTTTTTCTTAGCAAAGATATTGGAATGGTTTGCTGTTTCCTTCAACAGCTCATTTTATAGATGAGGACACTTAAGCAAACAGGGTTAAGTGACTTGCCCAGGGTCATACAGCTAGAGTCTGAAGCTGGATTTGAACTCAGGTCTTCCTGACTCCAGGCCTTGTGCTGTATCCATTGTACCATCTAGCTGCCTGAACTGACCAATAATTAAAGAAAGAAGGAGCATCTGGGTGATTTAGGGCCTTTTGCATAATCAATAGAAAGGAAGTCCAGGGGTATGTGCTGGGAATTTTAGTCCTGTGAGGGTGCATCTTCTTGTAACTAGATCAACCAGATACACCCAGGCACTGCACCGTGGTCAAACTTAGGACCCCTGGCCTGCTTTAGGCATAGCAAGGACCAGGAGACCCCCTCTCAAGGAAGGGAGGAGGAATCCAGCATGAACAGACTGGTCCACGCTAGGAGAAGGCCATCCCTGGGCAGCAATGCCCAAACATTGGCAGAGTTCATTGTTCCTTAAGGGAGGCAACAAAGAGGGTATCTTTTCTAACTATGACCTAACCCTCTGGAACTCATGCTTCCCCAACATTTACTGGCTTCCAACCAGAGTAAACACATTTAGTTGAAGTCTCATTTGTACTAAGCACTTTTACATTGATTGCTCCTGGTTTATAAGATTGGGAACTAGAAGAGACCTTGAGGGGTCATCTATTCCAACCCCTTTATCTTAGAAATGAGTAAACTGAGGCACAGTAAGTGGTGTAGCAACCACAATCCATTCAATTAAAATTATTACATTTGTTCCATGAAACATACAGTTTGTGAGGCAGTTTTAGAGCAGATTAACATCCTCATTTGAAAGAGGAGGAAAGCATAATAAAAACCCTGAGTAGAGGAAGATTGAGGAGAGATCACAGATTCTTATAGTTGGAATGTTTCTCAAAGGCCATCTAGTCCAACCAACAACAGAAAGAAAAGTCCTTCTATAACATAACGGTCATGAGGTCATCTATCCCTTCTTTGCTTAAAGAATGGGATAGAGAGGGGAAGTTTCTACCTCCTGAGGCAACCCATTCAACTTTTGGGTATCTGTAATTGTTAGAAAGTTTTTCCTTATATCAGGCTTGAATCTGCCTTATAGACTTGAAAGTAGCTATGATCAAACTCTACATATTCATAAAAAGGAAGGAGTACTGAGCCAGACCCCTGTATGACAAATTTCCATTACAGAATCATAGATCTAGTTCAACCCCCTTGTTTTACAGATGAGGAAACTAAGATCTAGAGAGAAGAAGTCACTTGTGCACAGTGCATAGAAATGGAAAGTGGCAGAAAGGATTTAAACTACTGGGTTCTCAGGCATCAGGTGTGAAGTCTTCAGGAATTTCTCCCAGCCACCTCACCACCCCTTACCTAACTCTTAGGTCTTACAGCCAGCAATAGGCATTAAATCTTGTGGGAGCATTGGCAAGATACAATAGAAATTATTAGAGAAAAGCAAGCTCCTACAGCAGGGAGAACATAGGTTGTTTCTGGTGTTCTCCTGGCACTGTTAAGTTAGTCCTTCATTTGGGAAAATACAGTTTTGCTTTAATATAAAAAGGCATAACAGATAACTCCTTCTAAACCCCAGTATTATTTTGGAAAAATCAAAACTGTTTCTTGTAACAAGCTTTTTTTACCCTGGTAGATAATTCTGAGTTGCTTTATTTCAGAAATCTATACCAACATACTGATATTCAGTGAGTGTTTAGCAATAGAGTTATCAGGGAAAATGGTCAATGACTAGAGAAAACTATTTGGCTTTTCTACCACTCTAGCTTACAGGTTTATCATTTTAAGCTAATGTGGTGAAGCCAAATAATGCCCTACTAAGTGGGAGCTTATTTCACTAAGAGGTGAAATATCTGGCATATTTCCCCAGTTTTCTATTGGTTTTCTAAATTTGTTTTCTCTCTGACCTACCTGTCAGTGATTTTCTGCTGGCCTGGTTCACACCCTTCTTCCTTAGGTAAGATTCTTTCATCCAAGTTGTAAAATTTTTAAAGTCTGCAATTTTTTTTTTAAGTTCTCGGTTTTCTTTGATCCTCCCTTTCTACATTTCAGGTCTCTCACTTCCCTGTCATGGGCATCAAGTCAGAGATAACTGTTTTCCTCATGCAAATATGAAAAAAAGAGTGTGCATTCATTACATGAGAACATTCCACAAAATGGTGGAACAAGGTCACTCACATGGCCAGAGACCTAAAGAAAGCCAGTCTGGGTTTAAACAACTTTCAGTGCAACGAAATAATCATTTTTGAGCACTTATTACATACAAGGCACTGTGTTATTTTCATATTATTAGCATTCAGTAAAACTTTGTTGAATTGAATACTGAAGCAACTAGATAGTGAAGTGCATAGTACTGGGCCTAATGTGAAGAACACCTGAGTTCAAATCTAACCTCAGCTACTGGCTCTGTGACCAGTCTTAACTGCTGTCTGCCTCAGTTTCTTAAACTGTAAAATAGGGATGATAATAGCATCTACCTGCCAGGATTATTGTAAGGACCAAATGAGATAATATTTGTAAAATGCTGGGACATAGTAGGCATTACATAAAAACTTATTTCCTTCCCTTCCCCTGGTTTGTTCAATGAAATCATGAAATGTGATTAATGGAGAATTAGCTGTATTACTGAGTATAATTTCCTCAGCTTCTATTGTGAAGCCTCCAAGGAAGGAGTTGACATAACACTGGTAGACTAGTCAATTTAATCCTTAGGGAAAAAATGTGGACTTTGTCCTTTGATGGAACTGGTGAGCCTCAGCTGGTATTTTTTTGTGGATCCATAAGCTTGTATGATTGTTACATGCCAAAATGTTTTCCCCAGAGGCCTTGAAACCTAGAAATCTTTAGGTTTTTGGCTCCCACTTTTTAGCTCAAGGCCAAGGTCAACAATCTATTGTACTCAATCTAACATTGCATACCGAGTGATTTTGAGGAGTATAGTTACAGCCAGTCACATAAAAAATTGTTGAGTAGTTATATTTTTCCCCTGGAGCCTCCTTACCCCCTTTTTTCTGGGAATTACCTACTACCCCCAATGTCAGATTTTATTTCTAAGGGATTGTTAATTACTTCTAACCTGTGTTCTAACAATGGCTTTGTAGCTACAAAGGAAGTTCAACAAGAGAAGCTTCCTTTTTTATGTAACAAACTCTAACTCTGCCAAACAGGCTACTAAGAGGAGCTGGGAACCAATTGGTAGCAGCAGGGATCTCTGGCATGCTCCACCCTTTCCCCTATCAGGGTGTGAATGAATGAAGATTTGCAAACTTTTATGACAGATTCCCAACACTTGAGTTAAAGTATGGAAGACTCTTGTTCAAATTCAAATATATTATTTAATTAAACCATTATCCATCTATAAGACCTTAGAATAATAAACAGAATCACAAAATCTCAAATTTGAAAGTGAAATGAGACAACCCCTGGTTCAACCCAAAAAGGAATCCTCTCTATAGCATCCTGTGAAAGGAATCAAGATTCTGCCTGAAGACCTCCCCAAATGGGGTTAACTATTATCTCCTGAGACAGCCTAATCCACTTTGGGAAGGCTCTAATAGGAAGCTCTTGCTTTACATTGAACCCCATCTGTTTCGCCTACAAATGTCGCTCCTAGCTTTGTCCTCTGGTGCCAAGCCAAGCAAGCCTAATCTCTCTTCTACATAATAGCACTTGAAATACTTGACAGTAGCTCTTAGGTCCCCTTAAATCTTCTCTTCTTCAGGCTAAACACCCATGTTAATTCGACTGATCCCCTTATATGGTAAGGTGACCAATTCCCTTACTGTCCTGGTCATCCTTTGCAGAACTTGGTCCAGCATGACAGTTTCCTTTACCAGTCTCATTATCAGCTCTTAGAGATTTGGCCAGATGAAAGATAAATATGGATCAGTAAAGAGGAACAGGTGGATCCCATGGCATGGAGTACTCCTTGAAGGCAGTCTTGGAAAGGGCATCAAAGGAAGACCTGTGCTCACCAGTCCAGTGGTCCAAGCTTGATCAGCTCCAAGCTGATGGAATTATTGGCCATATTGCTGAACTGCTGATCCCAGCCAGGGCAAGCAAAAAAATGTTCACTGCTGTGAATGTTTCTTTGGTGCTTCTTTAGGTCATGCATCCGAGTGAAGGGACGCCCACACTCAGGGCATGGGAAGGGCCGTTTACTACCTGGTACACGCTGGTGCACACGAAGGTGCTTCTTCAAGCCCTGTTTTTGGGCAAAGTGATGCCCACACTGAGGGCAGAGGAAGGGGTGCTCACCAGTGTGCACACGCTGGTGCTTCTTCAAGTCTTGCTTTTGGGAAAAGTGATGCCCACATTCAGAACAAGGAAATGGCCGCTCACCACTATGCACACGTTGGTGCCTTTTAAGATCCTGCTTTTGGGCAAACTGGCGCCCACACTCAGGGCAGGGGAAGGGGCGCTCCCCACTGTGCACGTGTTGGTGTTTCTTGAGGTCCTGCTTTTGGGAGAAGCAGCGCCCACACTCTGAGCAGGCAAAGGGACGCTCCCCACTGTGCAAATGCTGGTGCTTCTTGAGGTATTGTTTCTGGGTAAAGCAGCGCCCACACTCTGGGCAGGGAAAGGGGCGCTCATTTCTATGCACCCACTGGTGTTTCCTCAGGTACTGCTTCTGGGCAAAGCAGCGCCCACACTCAGGGCAGGGGAAGGGGCGTTCCTTGCTATGCACCCACTGGTGGGTCATCAGGGCTGACTTCTGCCGGAAGCACTTCCCACATTCTGAGCAGGGGAAAGGCCGTTCCTTTGTGTGTACTCGCTTGTGCACCTTAAGCTCATGACGCCTCTTGAAGTGCTTTCCACATTCAGGACAATGGTGAGGTTTCAGGGAAAGCTCGTTCTCAGAGGCTAACTCCTGGTTCTGTATCTTCTCCATTAGAGCTCTCTCACCTGGAGAAAGGGTATGCAAGACTCCATTATCTCTCCTGTTGCCTCCAGGCTCAGTACTCACCAAACTATCCATCTGTCCAGGGGGCAGGAGATTTGCTTCTTGAGACTTTTTGTGGCTGGAGGGCTGAGAACCTGTTTCCCCTTGTTCCCCTGGGAAATCCCCATTCAATTGCTGTTTCCTAGGACTTTCTTTCCTAGGACACTTCCGGACCCCAACACCTATAAGAGAAAAAAAGTCAGTATTCCCTAGGGGCTTCTAACAAGGGATTGTGGGAAAAGAATTGCTCCAAGGACAAAGCATTAGGACTGAAAGGGATCTTAGAGGTCATCCAGTCGGATCCCTTCATTTTATAGGAAAGTGAGGCTTAAAGAAGTTAATGTTCTTGACCAAAGTCACACAGAAGTGGCATGAGTGGGACCTAAGCAGTGGCGTGCTAGAGCTACCTTGAACTGGAGCCAACTATTGAAATTGTTCATTGTGAGCATTGACACTTCTGAAACTGGCAAATGCTACAAATTAGGGCTTGATTTTTTTGTCTTTTATTAATTGTCTAGATTTAACAAAGTGATGGAGAAAATCTTAATAATGCAAATTAAACTTAAAAATGTGTCATAGGTACATTTCCCCCCCAGAGACCTAGTTGTTAAATGTTTACCAGCACACCACTGGATCCAAATCTTCCAACTCCAACCAACACCAGTACTTATCTACTGTGCCACAGAACAGGAACAGTCTAAATCCCCATAACAACTAATTATATAAATGTGAGTGCTCAATCTATGACACTTGCTGGCTGACAGAGTTCCTGGCCAAAGTTGGTCACCTTAAAAGAGCATGAAGGAAAATCCTCACCTAAGTATGAGCTTTCCAAATTATCTCTTCTCAACAAGTTCTGCTGATCTTCCCAGGTTTCAAAGACCTGTCCCAATGTAGTGAATAGCTCTGGCAGGGCTCCCAACCTGCCTGTTGGAAACGAAGTCAACAAAATTCTCAGTATGTGGTTCCATTTTGCCAAGGTTTACTTCCCACAAACACCTGCTCTCTTAGCTAGCTATGCTGAGGTAACCATTGCCCAACCTAGCCATAACTGATGTCAGGTTATGAGAGCAAGAGGTGTGTCCAAAGCTCTGTGCATGTGCATCAACACATCTACCTTGACATCCTCTAGTACAGGGGTGGGGAACCTTTGGCCTTGATGCCCCTGCCTTGGGCGGAACCTTGATTTTGAAGAGTTTATCCTAATCTGGTTGTCACCATTTCAACCCTTAAGATCTCTACTGGCCTTTCCCCACCTAAATCTATTCCTTTAATTCACACTCTTGGGGACCTTACATAGATTTTCTTGCCTTCTAAATGGATATGAGTCAAAATTATTCTCTTCAGTAAGACCCTCTTAGCCTATCAGATCTATTTCTCACAATTCTCCAATTCAGACACTAGATGAAAGAAGTGAAGGAAATTTTCTCCACCTTTCCTGAAACTGAATCTTCCCCACAGGTAAATGAATGAAAAATCAAAACTCACCAGCACTCAAAGAACTCAGGGTTTCGTAGTTCTCTTTCATCACATCCCAGTACAACTGCTGTTGCCAGGCAGCCAACATCTCCCACTCTTCCTGAGAGAAAGTGATGGCCACATCCTCAAACGTTAAGAAGACCTGAAACCACCAGTTGCACAAGGTCTTATTCCAGTCTTTTCAGGGTTCCCCTGAAAACTAGTTAACAGTTCTCATCCATAGTTAGTTTAGGATACTTATGACTCATTCCCCATATCAGGACTCTTTTTCTTTCTCCTCTTTCCCCACCAAGCTACGGTCTGTGGCCGAGAACCCTGACAAGGACTTGTTCTCCAGAGACCACTGTTTGAATGTGCTGTTTATCTAGGAAGGTCCTGATTTGGATGAATGAAAGAGAAAGCAGCCTTCTACCTTTCTCACTAACACACAAGCATGGATTAATTTATTTATTTATATAATTGTCAATTATATAAGACTGACAGCCTTAGGCAATGAGAATTAGGACAGATAATTTTCAACAGTATGGCAACATGAAGAATTGGTCCAGAGTCTTAACAGCTAGCATTTATGGAGTTCTTCAAGGTTGGTAAAGGATTTTACAAATACTATTTTATTTTATCCTCACAACAACCCTAGGAGGTAGGTATTATTATTATTATCCTCATTTTATAGATGAGTAAACTAAGGCACAGGGGACTTGCCCAGGGACACATCGCTGGTAAGTGTCTGAAGCCAGATTTAAACTCAAATTTCCCTGACTCCAGGCCCAGAGTTCTATCCATTGTGGCACCAGCTGCCGCTCAAGAAATAGAACATCACTGATCACTAATTTGGGGCAGGCTGATTGTCAGCCCTGTCCAGAAAGAGGGCTTCTAATTCAGCCCCAAAACCTTGGGAGGAGCCCTTACTCACAACCTGAGTCCCCAACAAGTTCTGGTTTAGTACTGTCTTAGGTGGAACAGTGCAGAGAGCACTGGGCCTGGAGTCAGGAGGAAATGGATTCAAATCTGGCCTCAGATACCTACTAGCAGTGTGACCCTGAGCAAATCATTTAACCTCTCTCTACCTCAGTTTCCTCAACTATAAAATGGGGATAAATAATAATTATACCTAATTCTCACGGTTGTGAGGATCATATAAGATAACACTTGTAAAATGCTTTGCAAACCTTAGAGTGCTCTATAAATCCTAGATACTATAGTAATTTTAATTACTGCCTGACATAATAGGTACTCCTGCCTCCAACCTCTCCATTCCCTAACTCATCCTTCATACTGCCTCCCAAGTGAGCTTCCTTTGCTCATGTTACTCTACCCAAAAACCTTCCATGGCTCCTCCTTTGTCTCCTGCATCAAATATAAAATCCTAATGCTGGCATTCAAGAGCCTACCGCCATCTCTCTTTCATACTATTCCCCTTCACATATTTGCACTGCTCTCCAACCAAACTGTATATTCAGCCACCACCCTCCCTGCCTTTTTATCTTGCCTTCTCCTACCTCCACATCTTTGCTCACAATATCCCCTTCACCTAGGAAGGGCTCCTGCCTCCCCTGCCTTATCTCTACCTCACTTCGAGACCCAACTCAACCTCTAGCCCTTGCCTCACAAGCTGCAAACCTCTCTCCCTCCTCAAATCTCTCAAAACTGTTTTGACCTCCACTTTTTTCACTTAACACATCATACCCCTGCATTATAGTTTTTTATATACACATCTGTATATGTATATTATATTATATATTAGATCATAAGTTCTTTGAAGACAGAGACTGTCTTATTTTATCTTTTTATCTTCAGTATCATAGTGCTTTTAACATAGTAGGAGCTGAATATTTGTTGAATAGAATTGGATCCCCAAAACTGTGAATGTGCCTGTGCAGAATATGTCAACCCTGGCCTTGTCCTTCAGAGTTTAGGAGTGACCCAGGCTAATTCACAGGGACACACACACCCACTTTGGACATATAGCCAATACACAAACACACAATCATGGAGATACATACCCACATATTATTACAAAGTCATAGGCACCGTCACAGTTGAACACATCTACAGAGTTGTAAACATACAATCCTTTTTCTGCCTCAACACAGAGACAAAAATAAATATATAGGGTTGTCCTCAGAGACCCACAGGGAAATGAGGTACAGGTTAAGTCACATGATCCTCCATTTCCCCATTCTGGAAATATATTCATAGAGATGAAATCAGCTAATACAAACCTCAAAGTCAGCCTTTATGGGAAAAATACATCACAAAGGGCAACAAGAACATGAATATGAGTATGAAAGGAAGAGTACCACTCCTTTGTTTTTGGTGACAGTGGAATATGGGCATGGGCATAGGAATCTGAAAGAATAGAGGTTCATATTGCCTTTTTTTAAAAAGTACTAGTTAGCTAAATCACCATTTCTTCTACTACCTACTTTCCAAATCTATGAACCACCACCTACATAGCTGCTTTACAGCGGCAGGGAGTAATAGTTGTGGGGTCTCCAAAGCAGAGGGAACGGGGAAATCCCTCCAATTTTCTGTCCCTGGGGAGGGTTCGGGTCACTTTCGTGCATGACTGAAAAATCACCTAGATACATTCATTCAAGAGCCAGGCCTTTGGGCCGCATCTCACCCAGAGCCACATCTACTTGGTGGGTGGGTCGGTTGGTCACCCAGACACAAGCACACAGAGCCCACCACTTTCTCTTTTACACTCTCCACCCCTCAGTGCCCCAGTGTAATTCAAGGGGCCTACCTGAGCTGCTTTGACCTTGGCCATGGCCCAGGCAGGAGCTGCCTCCTTCTGTTGCCTCTAGACAGGTGGAACTACACTTGTGCGATAATGGCTCCTTTTAAGAACCCTGCCTAGAAGAAATCCAAGAACTACCTTTCCCTCCTTCCTTCCTAGGCTCTGATAGAGTAGGGATAAAGGGAAAAAGGAAGCTGAAAGTGGGATAAGGAGGGGCGGGATACAGTTCCTGGGACTATTGCGCATGCCTATATCTACTTTTCCATTTTACTAGGGTTGGAAAGGGGAGGGAGCAAGCAAGAGGGGCTAGGGCTGGAGAGCAGAAGGGAAAGGGACGGGGAAGGAACAAAAGGAGAGGGGGAAATTGAAGAGCCCTTCTTACACTATAAATAGCCTTTGGGCCAAAGAATGGGTCCACTGTTTCCTTCCTCCTTTCCTCTGGGCACTTTGCACATGATAAATGCTCAATAAATATCTGATTATATTAATTAAGAGGTTCTGTTTCCTACGCTGTCATGTCACTGAATCACATAGCTTAGTGCCTGGTCTTGAGGAGCTTGGGGTTGCTCTGGGTAACTTGAAAAGCAGAGCTCCAAACCAGCAGAGATTTGCTGGAGGGAATGCAAGTGGACAGAATAGAAGAAAACCACTCAGGGTTTCTGGAAATAGAGATGGACGATAAAGTTACGGGATCTACGCACTGGCATTGCACAGAGAGGTTAGTCAGAAATTCCCTATGTGTCGCTAGCAAGATGCATCCCTCTCTTAAATTGAGTCTCAGTTCTAATGTTCTATGACCCCGTGATTTTTTTAGCACTTCAAAGCTGCCCTGATGTCAGCACTTACCCCACAGAAAGAGTCCATAGAAGTCCTCTCAATTGCTCCTCTCTGTGCCGCAGTCCTAAGCCATTCAGCCTACTTCCAGTTCCCTCCTTCTGTTGCATTCCCTCTGAAGAAGCTTCTTCCTTTGGCTTAGTGAGAGGTAAAGTAAAACTACCTTCTCTGGAAACTTAGAAGAAAAGCAGATGTCCTTACCTAGTGAGAACACTTTAGTCCAGAGTCTCACCTTCAGTTTTTCATGTTCAAAAAGGAAGTTAAATGACTTGTTCAGGGTCACACAGCTAGCAAGTAAGCATCTGAAGCCAGATTTTAATTCAGGCCTTTCTGACTCCAGAGTCAGTACTCTATCCCCTATACCACCCAGCTTGATAAATAAATAAAAGAGCAAATATCATATGCAATGAGGATACACACCACTTTCAATGTTTGTTTCAATGACGAAAGGATGCCCACTCTTCTCAGTATTATTTGAAATAGTTCTGGAAATGCTAGTAATAATAATAAGATGACAAAGGAATTAAAGGAATAAAAGATAGGTAAAGAGGAGATAAAAGACCCTGTTTGCTGATGACATGATGGTTTAGTTGGAAAACCCCAGGGAATCAGCAAAGATGCTAATTGAGACAATTAATAGCTCCAGCAAAGTTGCAGGCTACAAAATAAATCCTCAAAAATCAACAGCATTTCTATGTAATAATAAAAAAAACATAAGAAACAATAATAGAAAAAGAAGTACCATTCCAATAACTACAAATGCACAACATATCTGGTATCAGTCTCCCAAAGTACTCAAAAGACTTGTATAGGTTCAATTATAAAGTGCTCCTTAAAGAAATAAAGAATAGGGGCAGCTAGGTGGCGCAGTGGATAGTGTACCAGCCCTGAAATCAGGAGGACCTGAGTTCAAATGTGACTTCAGACACATAACACTCACTAGTTGTATGACTCTGGGCAAGTCACTTAACCTCAATTGCCTTGCCAAAAAAAAAAGAAAAAAAGAAAAAATGAAGAACAACTTAAACAACCAGAGGAATATTCAGTGCTCATGACTAAGCTGTGACAAAATAAGAAAAATGACAATATAACCAAAATTAATTAATGCTTTATCAATCAAGTTACCAAGGGGATATTTTGCAGAACTAGAGAAAATGACAAAATTCATTTGGAAAAAGAAAAGATCTAGAATATTAAGGGAAATTATGAAAAGAAGTAAGGATGAAGGGAGAATAGCACTTCCAGACCTCAAACTATATTTTAAAGCAGCAGTCATCAGAACCATCTGGCATTGGTAGAGAGATCAGCAGAACCAGGAAAACATTGTACACAGTAACAGCCACATTGTATGATGACTAACTTTGAGAGATTTCGCTTTTCTCAGCAATGCAAAGAACTACAGCATCTCTAAAAGTCTCATGGTGGAAAATGCTATCCACATCCAGAGAAAGAACTATGGAGTTTGAATGCAGATCAAAGCATACTATTTGCTCTTTTTTTTTCTTCTGCTTGTTTTGTTTCTTCTTTCTTGTGGTTCCTCCTATTGGTTCTAATTCTTCTTTACAACATGATTAATATGAAAATATGTTAATAGGACAGTATATGTACAGTCTATATCAGATTGTATGCCGTCTTGCAGAGGGAGGCGGGGAGAGAGGGGGAGAAAATTTAAAACTCAAAAGTTTATGGAAGTGATTGTTGAAAACTAAAAATAAATTAATTAAAAGATAAAACACAAAAAACAAAAAAAGAATAGAGATCAATGGAACAGATTAGACAAGGGAGATTTAGAAACAATGGAACTCAATAACCAAGTGTTCGATAAAGTGGAATACATAAGTTATCTATAGAAAAACTCCCTGTTTGATAAAAAACTACCAGGAAAACTGGAAAGTAATCTGGCAAAAATTGGGCTTAGACCAACATATTACACCACATTCCACAATATATTTTAAATAGATACATGACATTAATATTAATGACTATACAATTAAAAAATAGAAGACAAACATCATATATTTCTCACAGCTATGAGTAGGAAATGTAATCTTAGCCAACAAGAGATGGAGGCAATTACAAAAGATAGAACAGATAATTTTGATGACTTGAAACTGAAAAGCTTCTGCACAGCCAATATTAATGCATCTGGGATAAAAAGGGAAGTGATAAAATGGAAAAAATCTTTATCAAATTTCTCTTGATAAGGGTTTGCTATACAAGATACACATAATTAATAAGTATACATAAAGAAAATAACCATTCCCCAATAGATAAATGGTCAAAGGATATGAATAGTTCTCAAAAGAATTGCTGGGTATTCACAACCACATGAAAAAATGCTCCAAATCACTAATAAGAAGAAAAATACAAATCCAAACAACTCTGAGGCTTTATCTCACACCCTGAAAAGTGGCAAAAATTACCGGAAAAATGGCAGTGATCAATGTTGGAGGGGCTGTAGAAAGACAGGTACACTGATATATTGTTAGTGGAGCTGTAAAATGGTGTAACCAATTTTGGAAAGCAATTTGAAATTACACAAATAAGGTGATTAAAATATTCATACCCTCTGAATCAGAGACTCTATTATTAGGGTTATTCCCTAAGAAAGGTGTAGATAAGAAAAAGTCCCCATATACTCCAAAATATTTATAGTAGCACTTTTTGTAATAGCTAAGAATCAGAAACAAAGTAGCTGCCCATCAACTGGAGAATGGCTAAACAAATTTTGGTATGAATGTAATGAAATAGTACTGTGTGATAAGAAATTATGTGTGTGATGAATACAGAGAATCATGGAAAGATCTACACAAAATAACGTATAATGAAGTAAGCAGAGCCAAGAAAACAATGTACACAGTAACTACAACAAAGTAAATAGAACAACACACACAAAAATTAAAGTAAATATAACAAAATCATAAAACTGAACATGTTTTTAGGCTTTTTCAATGAATCTATAAGTTGTGTGGACTTTTTTTCATTCACCCTCCAAAAATACTATTTTTGGTTCTCTGGCAGGGGAAGGAGCAGGGACACATAGGGTTCAATGATATGTAAAAAACAGAAAATGTCACTTAAAAACTTTTTTTCTAAAGAAAGAAATTCTACCAGAAGGCATAAGGAAGTTGTAACTAAATGGAAAGATAGATCTTTGGAGAAACAAATAAAGGAGGTGGTAGAGTTGGTTTTATTATGTGCCCAAAAGCAACGAAAAAAAACTATTTCATGGTAAACTTGGTCATTTCACTTTGCAGTGCTATTAGTAAGCATAAACAAAAATACCACCAAGAAGATCATTACTTTTTGTGCCCCAACTGTTTGTGTTCCAAAAGATGAAGAGATTGGGAAATGTTATGTGTGTATATATATATATATATGTATATATATATACATATATATGTATATATGTATATATATTATACACACACACATATATATATGTATGTATATATATATACATACACACACATACACACATATCTGAATATATGGTGACTTGAATGCAAAGGTATGCACAAGGAAGGGATTGCAAAAAAAATGTGTTTGAAAATGTGCTTCAGAATTTAGAAACAAAAGAAGACCAGAAGTGTTCAATGACTTGTCCAAAGTCTGGGTTGAATTTAACAAACACTTATTAAGCAACTACCACGTGAAAGAAAGGTGTTATGATAGATGCTAGGGAAACAGACAAGAATGAAATAGTCCTTGCTATCAAAAAGCCTCAAGCCTGGATATCACGAATACATTTTTTACAAAGAAATCTGAAAGGTACTGGACATGGTGAGCACCAAATGACATATCCAAAAAAAAGAAAGAAAGAAAGAAAAAAGATTAACTATGTCATAACAGTCAGGAAGCCTGTAATTACTGAAGGAATCAATTTAAAATCAGCTATTAATGTGCAGTCACATCATCAGCTATTTAGAGCAAAGGTCAAAATAGCATCAAATGAGAAGAAAGGATAAAAATGAGATGAGAAGACATTAGGCAATTACAAAAGCTCCATCCTTCCCTATTTAAACATCTATTGATGCTGAAAAAAATGGGAAATGGATAAATGAAAAGGTGACTGATTTTTATTATAATTAGTTCTTACCTAAATGTACCTGATATAAGTCAGTCTCCAAGAGAAACAGGCCAAAAGAACAGAGAGACTGATGCAGCCAGCAAACATTTGTTCTTTTTGCCAAGTAAAAAAAGATGCAAAAGCAACACTGGTTTAGAGTAAAAACTCAATTGTAAAACATTACAGAGTAGGATGGCACCACTATAACCTTAGAGAAAAATAGCAAATTGTGAAGTAAGTCTGGAAGACATGAATTTGCATGAAACCCAAATAAACCCAATCATTCCTAGTTGGATGAAGGACAACAAACTGACAGAAAATGTTAACAGGTTGCCACATTTACTTGGACCCTCCAGTCACATTATACTTCTTTTTCAAAGGGTCAGGCACTTAATTTGGAGAACTGCCTTAGAGGAAAAGGGAAGGAACTGTCTTCTAATTCACCATAAGGAGGTTTTGCCCAGTAGATGTTCAGATCACAGCGTTGGGAGGTGGCTTTGAACTGAATCTTCTAGGAATTGTGGGCAAGCAGAGAAAACTGCTACTTTGGATCCTCTAGTCACCCTCCAGGCTTTCTCTTTCTCCTCCTCTGGGCCATGTCCCTGCCCTAAGGGGCCTCTGGGACATCCATGGCCTTGGTTTCACCAAACAAGAAAACTAGGATCTTGTCACTAGCCAAACTGGGGTATTCAGGTCCAGGCCACCACAGGGCTGTTTTGTGACTAGGTTCAGAGAAAATCGGCAGCAGCAGGATTATATAATAATGACCCTTATAAAGCACAGTACTTTATACTTTTAAAATCTATTACATCCCCATCTATTATCTCACGGGCTCCTCACAACAACCCTGAGGTTGGCAGGGCAGGAATTGAGAAATGAAGCCCAGAGATGTTCAATGACTTGCCTAAAGTCTAGGTTTAATTCAACAAACATTAAGCAACTACCACATGAAAGGATGGCATTATGAGAAAATGGGAGTCCATTAGTCCCTAATAGTGAGGTTAAGGAACTAAAATCAAGCACTCAAGATTAGGGAAAATTCGAACCCTGCCCCACCTTGCAGAGGGGATTCCTGCTTAGGTGAAAGGTTGAGCTAGATGACCTCTTAGACTCGTGAAGATCTAGTACGGACTCTAAGAGGACCTAGGTTGTAGTCCTAATTCTATTATTTGGCAGCTGTGTGACTTGGGAAACCTCTAACTCCTCCACATCTTCGTTTCTTCATTAGGAAAACGAGAGAATTGGACGAGGTAGTCGCTAAAGGTCTTTTCAATCCATGACCCATATTAAATTTGCACAGCACTGAGCGGCACGTGCCAAACAACTCGGCTATTTTGAAGACTTGTGGAGCAGGCCTGTCTGCAGGAAGGGTGGAGGACTAAGGGTCACTGGCAATCACAGCTGCCCACGTACATCTAGGGCCGCCCGTTAATGCGGCGCGCGCTGTTTGCTGGGAGATTGAAGGCTGCCCAGCTTCCACCTCGCGAGCCACGGGCTAAAGCAGTGAAGCACGCTGGGACATCGGAGCCCTTTCTGCAACCACGGGAAGCCAAGTGAGGCAGAGCGGTGCACCCTGGGAGATGTGACTTCGTGTAGAAGTGGTCGGAGCACAGCGAGTCCGAGCCTGTGATCATACCAACAACTAAGACTCCTCTACAACGTAAAAAGGAGGGGGAAGTTGGGAGGGAGAGAAAGGGGTGTGCTCGTCGGAGTAGAAGATGACTCACAGGATAGGCGCTCTGTGACGTCACTTCCTCTGAAGTGGAAACGTAAGTGCTCAACCGGAAGGAGCGGTTGCTAGGGGCCGGTTACTTAGGCAACAACGGTCGAGTCTTTGTGAGAGGTTTCTGGCCTGGGGCGGGGGTGATGTGGGGCGGAGGGGTTGGGGGAGGGGGAAGGCCTAGTGTTTTGTTCTTGGGGCCCCAATAAAGAAGATGTCCTCCTTGCCTCCCCAGCCTGCCCTCCCCCCGAGGGGGGCAGTGTTAGTATCCCCCGTTTGGCCAGCGCTTGTAGCTGGACCTGGATGGAGGCCAAAGACGTGGCTCCCGCTGGCTGACCTTGGGCGCCTGGCCTCTCTGATCTCTCAGCTCCCGCTCCCAGGCATCGCCTCCTTGGAAGAGGCCTCCCTGGACAGTGAAGAGCCGCGAACTGGGAGTCGGGAGAACGATAGGCTTGCAGGCCAACCAACTACTGACCTGCCGCATGGTCTTGGGTAATTTGCAGCGCTCAAATGCTGGCTCTGCTTGAGCAGCTCTTCAGGCTAATTGTTATCTCCTTTTAACAGAGGGGGGAATGGAGAGGTTAGCTAATACCTGGTGCCTGGGAAGAAAGAGAATCTCACACGTGAATCTCTGAATTTTGAAGTACCCACGACTTTATTTCCTGAAGAGTAGAAAGAGGGCAGGCAGCTTGGTAGAGTTGTTTGTCAAATAGTGACCCAACTCACACTTGTGGTCAGTACATAATAATAATAGCTAGAATTTATATAGCACCTACTGTGTGCCAGGTGCTTTATAATGATCTCCTTTGATCTTCACAACCACCCTGGGAGGTAGGTGTTATTATCCCCATTTTGCAGTTAAGGAAATGGAGTCGAATAGGTTAAGTGACGTGGATCTCTTTACAGTGATATATAGGCACAGGCTAAAAATACATATCTAAACAAATATCAATAAATACATGAAAGACACATTCATAATACATTAGAAAGGAGAAATTGGGATGTTTGGGATAGAGCCTTACATTCTGAGCTTTCTGTCAAGGAGTACAACCAAGCCCAGCCACAAAATGTCACAGAGTGCTTGTGAGAAGAGTTTTCTTAAATGGGTGCCTATAAGGTGATAATGACAAATACTCTTCTTCCCTGTCTACATCAGTGATTTTGTAGTGTATTACCTCAATACCTGGATCGATTTACGATCTCATCAATGTGGATGTTCTCTGGACATTTAACCTCTTTTTTTATAAGATGAAAGAGTTGAACTTGCAAACTTTTGTTTCTTCTAGCTCTAAATCCATAATCCTGTTATACTCCCAATGATGTATATTGCAACTCATTTTCTAAATTAACACGTGCTGGATGGATAGTTTGTAGTTAGAGATAATATTTAATCTTTAGAACAGGTGCTGTGCAGAACATCATAATTCACCTTTTCTCAAAATCCTGTGAGGCAGGAATAATATAAACTTATACCTTTCTTCCCTCTACACCTATACATTCAAGGAATGGATTATAATAGAAGGCTGGGGAATCTTTTCTAGAAATCCTTATGGATTGTATGGTGAAGTGTGGATCTCCTTGAAGGCAGGCAACTGGACTAGATGTCTCAAAGTACTTATCGATGGTCTAAGTAATAGATAACAGCTTTGAGTTTTAATTGCTTTCCCTTCCCTGCAGATGGCACTGCTGCTCTGAGACTAATTTCCCCAGTACCTTTCTTCTTCCCTATTCATCCTCTTCTGAATATTTTTTTGTTGTACTCATTTTTTCAGTTCATTAATGCTATCGCTTTCCATACTAGGGCTGACTTCCTAGCCACATTCTGCATATTGTGATTTCAGAGAATCTTAAAAAGTCAACCCTACGATCCCACCTCCCGAAAAAATCTCCCCTAATATTTCACCACCATGACTGAAATTGTACTATTTGGTATAATTCCTTTGATTTCAGATACATTGAAGATCCCTGTTAAAAATGCAAATGTGTTACTCAGGAGGGATTTAAAATTAATATGAGCTATTAGCTGAAGCCATTAAAGATTAAACTAGTTATAATAGGGGTGTGTGTGTGTGTGTTGCCTGAACCCTGGATTATATAAGGAATGATAAATATGGAAGAATCCAAAGAAATACAAATCGCAAAGTGATAAAAAAAAAACCTAAAAGGTACACACTAATGATAATATCAAACAGTAACAAAACTGCTGGCAAATTCAACAGATAAGGTTGTGCTGTATTATTAAAGCTAATATTTATGGTCTTCATTTAGTTTAAATAACAAAGGCTTGGTTTCATGCACAATCATTCCAAGCAACTTTTTAATGTTGTACTTGTTTATGAGACTTGTGTTTTTGTTGTTTATTCTGTGATCAGTTTTGACTGGGAAAAAAATATGTACTTAAAAAAAGTTTAAACTGAAACAGTAGGAGAAAAGACATTGATCATTAAATGAGATAATTTTATTGTAAATTTTATTATTGCATTCATTACATATCCCCCCCAAAATAGAGGGTCCATTGGTCTGTATCCGTTGCTCTTCTTAGATTAGCTTTTCAGTGTTCTTTTTCACATCCTACCAGCTCTTAATTCTTCATAAATGTCTTCCAGCTCCTCCTATTGAATTTTCATGTATGTCACCTTTCTGGGACCTGTTTCTTCTCCCCACCTCTAGCCTCTGTCTGGGAGATCCTATTTTAACTATCAATGGAATGAGAGGTCATTATAGATTGTCAAATGTTTACAATTTAGAGACAATCATTTTGGGGATTACCAAAGCACAAGTCTTTGTGCAAAAAATCTATTCCTTCTTTTGGACCATAATTATTGTTATTATTTCGCTAGCATTTATATAGTCTTCCATGTGCCAGGCACTGTGCTAAACACTTTATAAATAATTTGTCTTTTTGACTTAACATTAACAAAGGATAAACCAGGTGATTAAGTTGCCTGAGATAGCTTCCCTTGGTACTCTGTTTAAATGGAGGATTTGGGAGGAGTGCTCTACCATCCCACCCTTCCCTCTCCAATTAGAGGGAGGGAGGGACCCCAGGGGAAAGTGCTGAGGAGGTGTGAGTTTCAGAGTTAATGTGATCTTGCAGGATGATGAGATTCCTAAGGGCATGATAGAAATCGAAAGGAGTGAAGCCAGGTGGGAAATGAAGAGATGGCTGTTCTAGGCACCTTCTTTAAATGAATACTGTGAAAATATATTTAATAGCAATGTATATGTAGAGCCTATATCAGATTGCACGCCATCTTGGGGAGGAGGAGGGAGGGGAGGGGGAGAAAATTTAAAACTCAAAAGCTTATGGAAGTGAATATTGAAAACTAAAAATAAATTTTTTTTTAAGTATGCTTCAATGTGTATTCAGACACCATCAGTTCTTTCTCTGGGGATGGATAGCATTTTTCATTATGATGAAAAAGTCCTTCAGAGTTGTCTTGGATCATTGTATTGCTGAGAATACCCAAGCCATTCACAGCTGATCATCTTACAATATTGCTGTAACATAACATATGTACTTTGTACATATCACTTTGTATCAGTTCATGTAAGTGTTTCCAGGCTTTTCTGAGAGCATCCTGCTCATCATTTTTGTTTTGTTTTGTTTTATGTGAGGCAGCTGGGGTTAAGTGACTTATGTGTCTGAGGTTAAATCTGAACTCAGGTCCTCCTGACTCTGGGGCCAGGGCTTTATCCACCGCGTACCTAGCTGTCCCCTGCTCATCATTTCTTACAGCACAATAGTATTCCATCACAATCACATAGCACAATTTGTTCAACCATTACACAATTGATGGACATTTTCTCAGTTTCCAATTCTTTACCACCAGAAATGAGCTACTATATTTTTGTGCATATAGGTCCTTTTCCTTTTTGTTTGTTTTTTTTTAATCTCTTTTTGGATACAGACCTAGTAGTGGTATTGCTACGTCAAAGGTACACATGGTTTTATAGCCCTTTGGGCATAGTTCCAAATTGCTCTACAGAATAGTTGAATCAGTTCACAACTCCAACAGTGAATTAATATCTCATTTTTCCCTCATCCCCTCCAATGTTTGTCATTTTTCTTTTCTCTCCTATTAACCAATCTAATAGGTATGAGGTAGTGCCTCAGAATTGTTTTAATTTGCATTTCTCCAATCAATAGTGATTTAGAGCATTTTTTTACATATGACTATAGATAGCTTTGATTACTTCATCTGAAAACTGTTCATATCTTTTGATCATTTATCATTTAGAGAATGGCTCTTTTAATAAATTTGACTCAGTTCTGTATATATTTGAGAAGTGAGACCTTTATTGGAGAAACTTGTTTCAAAATTTTTCACAGTTATGATTGCTAAATGTATTTCCCTCCATTCTGTTCCCCCTCCCTGTTTATTCTCTCTCTCTCCTTTCACCCTGTCCTTCCTCAAAAATTTTTTGCTTCTGACTATTGCCTCCCCCAATCTGCCCTCCCTTCTATCACTGCCTCTCCTTCTCTTATCCCCTTCCCCTCCTACTTTCCTGTAGGGTAAGATAGCTTTCTGTACCCAATTGAGTGTGTATGTTATTTTCTCTTTGAGCCAATTCCAATGATAGTAAGGTACTCCCCCCTCCCCTATCTTCCCCTCTACTGTGAAAGTTTTTGCTTATTTTATGTGAGATAATTTGCCCCATTTTACCCCTCCCTCTCCCTTCTCCCAGTGAATTCCTCTTTCTCACCCTTTAATTTTATTTTTTTAGATATCATCCCTTCATATTCAACTTATACCTGTGCCCTCTGTCTATATATTCTCCTTCTAACTGCCCTAATAATGAGAAAGTTTTTATGAGTTACAAGTTCATCTTCCCATGTAGGAATGTAAACAGTTTAACCTTATTGAATCTCTCATAATTTCCCTTTCCTGTTTACCTTTTTATGCTTCTCTTGAATTTTGTATTTGTGAGTCAAATTTTCTATTCCATTCTGGTCTTTTCAAGAATGTTCAAAAGTCCTCTATTTCATTGAAAATCCATTTTTTCCCCTGAAGGATTATACTCAGTTTTGCTGGTTGTAATCCTAGCTCTTTTGCCCTCCAGAATATCATGTTCCAAACC